AACATGCCTGGGTGATGGTGCTGGGGACATAGTTTGCATTTAGTCTGGAAGGAGGAGTCCGTGCAGGTAGAGTGCAATGTGACCAGCAGGCAGAATACAGCCAGTCCCCAGCCCACTCAGGACCCTGCCCGCAGCAGCCCCTGGATCCCGGGGTGTGTTAGACAGAGGGTGACACTGTGCAGGGTGAGGTGACCCCCTTCCCACTCAGCAAGGAACCTGGCCAAAGAGATAGCAGAAGGTGCCATAGATTCAAGAAGAAAACCTTCAGAACTTCGCCAGGTACAGAGATCCAGCCTGGAGCCAGAAGAACCAAAGGTCGCTGTCTGGGCAGTCCACACAATACACAGGCCATGATCCAACACAAGGCTGGTTCTGCCTCCCTCCATGCCTGAGAAACTGCTCATGAGGGCAGTCTGTTGCTTGTAATTGGTCAAGTCTCCACAGCCCGGGGTGCTGTGTTCACACTTCAGTGATTAACAGACTTTCCTTGCTCCGAAGACAACTAATCTGGACAACCCCAGGGCTGCAGGGACTGGGAGGGTAGACGGGGAAGAGGTGGGGCAGGGACACTTGTACATGGTGGGCGCTGCTGGGCAGGAGCATCTCAGGAGGCAGAGCCCTGTGCTGGCTGCTGAAACTACAGCTCTAGGATGGGGTTAGGCCTGACCTTCGCCTGGCCAAACCTGCCTAGGTGCCATGTCTCCTGGCCACGCCCTACCCTCGTCAAGACCAAGCATGGTCCTCAGAACATTCCCACCCATTCCTGGGCCCGCCACCAGCCAACTGCAGTTTCCCTTAGGAACCTGAGTAGGGAATGGTCCATGGATTCCCAAACCTTGAAGAACACACACAGGTCTCCCAGCAGGGCGCTCCTCTCAAAGGCAAGAGAAGAGAAGAGGAAGTACCCACCACCTTCCCACAGGGCTGGCGGGGGTGCAGGGCAGCTCTTGCTAAGCCCATCTCCACACAAACCTTCCCTATCCCTCCACCCTCTAGGCCTTTTCACCGTCTGTCCTTTTCCTCCGCTGGACTCCCCATGCTAACCTAAGGAGCTCCCCCTGGTCCCTCGGAATTTAGCTCTGTCCCCAACTCCACCCCAGAGCCATTTCTTCTCTCCTGGGTGGAAGCAGCCCCACCCCATGCCCACATGCTCCTAGGCCGATTCCTGCCTGGGCTTGGTACTTCCTCTCAGGCTTGGCTACTGGACAATAAGGCCCGAGGACAGGGTCGTGTTCCTTCATCCCCGTCTCCAACGCTTGCCCGCTGCCTGGCATACAGCACGTGTTCACTAAACGCTCAGAGGGTGAAGAGCCAGATGCCACCCTCTGTGCTGGAGAAGCACAAGCAGGAGCGTGGTCTCCGTGCCAGTTTGACACTCAATGACAACACTGTGCCTCTTTACCCTGTGCATGGCAGGCACCTTTCTGGTCACCGTGCTGGTGAAGAATGCCTTCTCCAACTTGAGTTTGGAAGTCGGAAGCGTCACCATCACAGGTGAGGAGTTCCGTGAGGGGCTAGAGAACTCGTTACCAGGAGCCTGGGGCTTTCGTTTGCTTGGGGTCTTATGAGAGGCCCTTTAAAACAGGCCTCTGGCCCAGCCTCGGTGGCATCACTGTGGTGTGTGGGCCCGAGTGCTGGAGGCCACATAGCCAGCCATGGATTGGGTCCCAGGTGGCGGCAAGCACACAGCACACGCATGGATTCCTAAGATCCTGAGGAGCTGCAAGGTGAGCGGGGGCTCATGGCATGGCAGGACCCTTCCTAGGGTGCTTCTCTCTCTCTTTCTCTCTCTCATGCATGTCCACACTATCCTAAAACAAAACCAACAGAGCGCTGAATACTTAACATGTCCTACAGATACTAAGAATGCTCTGTTTACTCTAAAGAGGCCATGGTGTGTATGGTAAAACGTCCAGCCATGGACACAGAATTCCACACCAGGAGAGTTTGTATTGGTTATGGTGCTTTAGGCTGCAGGTAGCGGAGAGTCCAACCAAAGTGGTCTTGGGTTCAGGGCCTTCTTATCTCCATGAGAAAACGTAGCAGGGAGGTAAGTGATTCCAGCTGGCTCACTAGGTCAGTGAGGCCGGCAAGGACACAGGCCAGTCTCCTCTGCTTGGCCGTCCTAGGAGATTTGATCTTGTCTTTAGGCTTGTGTCTCGTGGAATCAAAATGGCTGCTGCAGTCCCAGGCACTGGAGGTCAGCCAGGCATCATACGGCAGCAAAGGAAGAGTGTTCCCACCTGAGCACTTCTTTTATTACGGGGGAAGCCCCTCCTACTAGTCCCAGAGGTCTTCCCCTCTGCTATAACAGGCCAGGGCGAGGCCACGCAGCCAGCTGTGAGGGATGCTGGGAAACGGCATCCAACATCGCAGGCTCTGTGGGAGAAGGTGGATTCTGGCTGCCAGGAGGAGGCGTGGAGTAATGGCTGTTGGGCAGCCAGCCATCGGCAGCCATCACAGAGCTTAAAGTTCCCCCTGAATGTATTTGCCAGAACTCTCCGGGTAGCAAGGGACAGACAAGCAACTCAAACGGACTCGAGGCAAAAGGAAGTGTGGCCAGCTCAGAAAAGGATAAGTTCAGCTCTTAAATATAGCTTGATCCATTGCTCAAACAATTTCTTTAGAAATATTACTCTCTTTTTCTTTTTCCTTTTCTTACTTAAGATATGGTCATCTCTCCATATCCACAGGTTCTGTGCCATGGATTCAACCTACCAGGGATTTAAAATATTTTCAAAAAAGGGACCAGCAATTAGTTGTAATGGTTATGTTGCTGGACTCCCATGTAGTTGACCGCGGTTCGAGTCCTGTACCTGATGGCTTAAACTCATGCTGGGTGTGTGTGAGTGCGTGCCCAAGATCCTGAGAGGAGAATGAAGAAGAAGGGATTGTGGCATGGCCACCCCCCTTGGGGGGTGATTTCTCACTTTCTCTCTGTCTCTCTGGCAAACGCACACACCCTACAGCAAAACCTGTCAAAAATTTTTTTTTCAAAAAACAACTGAATAAAAAAATAACCGTATAATAATAAAAGTAAACCAGGGGACCAGCAGTTAGCGTAATGGCTATGCCGCTGGACTCCCATGTAGTCTACCACGGTTCGAGCCTCGGACCTGGTGGCTTAAACTCACACCGGGCGCGTGTGCATGCATGCCCAAGATCCCGAGAGGAGAATGGAGGAAAAGGGATTGCGGCATGGCCATTCCCCCTGCGGGGTGATTTCTCGCTTTCTATCTCTCTCGCTCTCTCTCTGTCTGGCAAGCACATGTGCCCTATAGCGAAAACCTCTCCAAAGTAAATAAATAAAAGTAAACCAGAATCCAGTATAACAACTATTTACATAGGATTACCTTGTATTAGGTGATATAAGTAATCTAGAGATGATTTAAAGTATTTGGAAGACTATATAGAAGTTATATGCAAATAGTATGCTGGTTATTTTTGTTTTTTGTTTTTTTTTTGGAGGGGTTTTTGCTAGGGCACATGCGCGCTCCAGAAAGACAGAGAGACAGAAAGTGAGAAATCACCCCCCGGGGGGAGGGGATGGGCACGTTGTAATCCCTTCTCCTCCATTCTCCTCTCCGGATCTTGGGCACACACACAGTGTGAGTTTAAGTCACCAGTCAACTACATGGGAGTCCAGTGACACAGCCATCACGCCAACTGCTGGTCCCAATAGTATGCCATTTTGTATAAGGGACTTGAACACCCATGAGTTTAGATACCACAGGGAGTGCTGGAAACAATCCCCCATGGATACAGAGGGATGACTGTTTTTAATTTATGATAGGTTTATCAGGTCTGACCCTATCATAAATTGAGAAGCAGCTATAGTTTATAAGGCAATACCATAAACAACATGGTATTCTCCCCGAGCCATGAGAAATAGGAACTCCCTTTTGTTTTGTTTTTAGATGGAGAAACTAAGAGTCAGAATAACTCACTTGCCCAGGTTCACATAGCCAGTAAGAGGCCCGTAAGAGCCGTGCCGGCTTCCTTGAGCTGGCCAGAGCTGACTGTGTCCATCTCTTCTCATGCTACATTCAGTAACATCAGGTTGGTAGCTAGAGATCCACCACGATAGGAATATTTACACCACAGAAATTAACAAGTGCTAAGACCTCCTCGCCTCCCCCCTCAACTGATAGCTCCACGTTAGCAGGATACAGCTGCATCTGTCTACGCTAATCGTGTGTCTTCTCTGAACTGGCAGCTGCCTCTTGCTTATCTACCAAAAAGGTGTCTTCAGCCTAATGGCGAATATGATGGCTTTGTCTTTGACCCAGTCCCCTATGTCCTGAATGTTTGCTCTGCTCCCCCAAGTCCTTTCCAAAGACAGGCTATGCCCCGGAACATCTTTAGTATGACTCTTTGTCTTTGCCTTTTGACAACTTTTTATAATGTTTTCTACCAAATTTTAACTCCCTTGTTCCCACTGTGTTCACAGCTCCCTTTAGGCACCAAGAACCATCTGGAATGAATGCTGAGAAAAAGAATGTGAGTCTTTTTTAAAAAAAGCATTTACTTTCATAAGAAAAAGATGTCCAAGTCCTCCGTTTTAGTTTTGAGTTTTGGTTTGCTGGCACTAACAGTCAAAGCACTGGGAACCTCCCAGTTTTCTTCTGTTTGAAAAGAGGGTCAAAGGGTTGAAATCAAACAAAGCATGTTCTCTAACCCCAATAGACTTATGTTGTAAATCAATAATAAGTTCTCTAAGATATGTAGATAGCTCTTAGATATCTTGAAAATTAAACAGCGTATTTTTTAAAAAAGAAACAATAGGTGAAAGAAGAAATCATAAGGGAAAGAAAATATTTAAACTAGATAACGATAACAAAACAGTCTTTCCGAATTTGTGGGATGCAGCTAAAGCAATGCTCAGAGGGAAATTTATAGCTTTTAATGCTTTTATTTAGAAACAGACTCCTTTTCTTTAGCTTTTTGTTTGTTTGTTTGAGTTTTGCCTGTGCTCACCAGGGAGATAGAGAGACAGAAAGAGTGCGAGGAAGAAAGTATTCCCCATAGAACATATTTACACAAAATCCTTCTCCTTCCTTTCTGCATCTTTTTGGGATATTGGGCATGCACGCATGCATGCACAGGCATGTTTCTTTAGTCACTGGGTCTGGTACTCAAACCACATGATTGACTAGGTGAGGTCCAGCTGTCTTAATCACCAGGCCACAGAGCTGGCCCACATTTTTCAGTTTTTATAGGAAGACTTAGTCTTCAACTCCTGGCTGTTGGCATTGTTCACACACGCATTTATTCAATAACAAAGACTTATTGTGCATCTGCAATGTTCAAGGCTTGACATTAGGGCTGGGGATACAATGGTGAATAAATAGACATGATCCCTGCCTTCATGAAACTTGCTAGATGTGACTAACAAATTAGCATATAATTAGGAATTGTGAAAGTGTCTAACAAGAACCAATAGAGTTCAGAGATAGCAGCTAACAGAGAATAGTCTAGCAAATGTAGTCAGACAAGGTCTCTTCAGGGGTGATATTTAAGTGGGGACATGAAGCAGAACAAAAGCTGGATGGGCAGGAAGAGAAAGCCCTGAGACTGGATATGGACTGAAGTCAGATGACTGGAGCCTGGGGGAGGAGGATAGAGGCAAGTACAGAGAGATGGACAGAGACCAGAACACGCAGAGCCTTAGGTGCCAGGGCCAAGGACTTGGATTTTATTCTCAGGTATGGGAGGCCATTGGAGGTTGAATTCCACTGTAGCTTTGCACCATTCCTGAATTGACAAGCCATCTAGGCTTAAGTAAGGGGGCGCAAAGGCCACCTGGGGGAAGAAGCCCTGAACATAGGCAGCAAGGGGACGCATTCTCTATAGAAAATTTGAACACAATAATAAAATGCTCCTAGATGGGTCAGCCAGTGGCATGCTGGTTAAGGCAGCTGGATCTCACATGGCTGACTTTATGGTTTGAGTCCTGGACCCAGTGACTTGAAATAGCCTGTGTAACAAGGTCTCACCTCAATCCCAAGGATTGAAGCTTCCAGTGGTCATGTGATAGGTGGCTTTTCGATTCTTTTTTTCTTTTTCCTCTTGGCAGTAGGTGTATGCATTTGGTAGAGCAAGAGGAAGTACCTCCCTAAATGGGACGTGGTTGTCCTGTAATCCTTTTTCCTTCATCAGTCTATCTCATCCGGCTGTTTCAAGTCATTTCAAGCTGTTTAACAGGTCCCACCAGAATGTACTCCAAGAACATGACACATGCCCTGCAGAAACCTCTTCCTAGGATCCAGCAATCTCCATTGTTCCCCAGCTTTCTTCTCCTCCTTTCAGACAGTTATGGGAGCCTGACCCCTAGGAAGCTTCCTCTGACTCCCACTATCTGGTTTATGGACTTAGATGCTCTCAAACCTTCAGAGGAATATTAGCTCAGAGACTTAGAAACTGGCCAGAGGTCACAGGGCCAACGATCCACCTGAGATCTGGCTGCCCCAGGCCTGCATTCTTAACATCCTGCCTCTTCCTTCCATGCTCTCTAGTTCCCGCACCCCCTGCTGTAGCACAGTTATCACTCTGTGTTTTGATTGTTGGTTATATGCCTGTCTTTCCTACCAAACATAAGGACAGGCCTGGGTCTTATTCCTGTATCCCTCAGCATCGAGCATGGGCCCTGGCCCAAAGCAGCCCCTTTTAATGCATTTGAACCACAGCAGACCCTGCTCCGAGCAACTGGCTCTGCGTCCCCTGAGGAGAAGCCAGATGCATCAGTTCCACTCTTGGCACGGCCTGTTCTGGGGTAGAGGGTGGCACCCCACCAGTGTGACTGAGCAACTCCGGAGGGGCATCTCATCAGCTGCTGCTTTCTCTGCAGAAAGGGAAAGACTACATGGAGATGTACATTGAACCTGGTCTGTTCCTGGATCCTTTCACGACAGTGACTCTGGGCTGGCCGGATAATGACAAGGATTTAGGCTTCCAGTGGTCATGTGGTAGGTGGCAGTTGGATTCTTTTCTCTTTTTCCTCTTGGCAGTGGGTGCATGCACTTTGTAGAGAAAGAGAAAACACCTCCCAAAATGGTCATACTATAACCCCTTTTCCTTCATTCCTCCATCTCATCAAGATTTGGGGCACACACACATTTGCCTGGCATGTCTTTCAAGCTGCTGGAGCCAGGACTCAAGCCATGGCTGGCTATGTGGGATCCAGCCCTGTCTACATAGCATTCAACTGCTGCACTACGTGACCAGCCTGCGTTTGAGTTCCTGAATTGCTCTATCTCACTAAGAAGTGATGAATAAAAGTCAGATTTTTAGGGTTGTTTTTCTTAATCTTCACACTGGCATTACTTATGCCTGACACTGTGTAAATTTCACCTTCCAGAGCATACAAATTCCATGGAAATGGAAGGTTAGGGGGAGCAATGGCCTCCCACACAGACAGCAAGGAGTTACATTCTCTGTAGAGAATCTGAACACAGTAATAAAATGCTCCCAGATGGGCCAGTGGCTGGCATGGTTGTTAAGGCGGCTGGATCCCACATAGCTGACTTCATGGTTTGAGTCCTGGACCCACTGACCTGAAAAACATGCAGGGCACATGTATATGTGTGTCCAAAATCCTGAGAGGAGACTGGAGGCGATGGGATTGCAGCATAGCCATCCCTTAGGGCGTGATTTCTCGCTTTCTTTCTCTCTGTCTCTCTCTGGCAAGCGTATATATCCTAAAACAAAAATTAGAAAATTAATCAATTAAAATTAAAAATTAAACGCTCCCAGGTGAGTCTTCTTTTTTATTATCACCATGCATGGCAGTTCCAAATAGTGTCAATGATAAAGTCCTCCTCCTCCCTGGGACAGACCCTACCTTTACCCCCACTGGGAAGTGAGTCAGGCACTTCCCCACTAACCAAGATGGTGGCCAAGCACTCGTGTTTTAGAAATGGCTTTCTTCTTTCTACAGGGATGGAGCCAAGCTCCACACACACCCTTTAAAAATAAAACAAGTGCCATTCATGCTGCACGTTGCTATTGTGACCCTCTTTTTCTGTTGAATGGTATATCTTTTTTTTTTTTTTGAGAGGTTTTTGCTATAGGGAGTGTGTACTTGCCAGAAAGACAGAGAGATATAAAGCAAGAAATCACCCCCCAGGGGGGATGGCCATACCACAATCCCTTCTTCTCCATTCTCCTCTCGGGACCTTGGGCACGCACGCACATGCACCCAGCATGAGTTTAAGCCACCAGGTCCGGGACCCAAACCGCGGTCGACTACATGGGAGTCCAGCAATATAGCCATTACATTAACTGCTGGTCTCTTGAACGGTATATCTGACATGTTTTACTGTCACGGTATCTTCTTCTCCATCTCACTTTTCACAATAGCTGCACGACAGACCATCAAGTCAAGCTGATGTATGATCATTTATTCACCAGTGCCCTCTTCTTGGACATTGAGGTTCTTTTTCAGCGTTTACTTTTATAAACGATACTGGAAAGGACATCCTTATAGCTTGGTCTCAATTTACACCTGTGGTTTCTTTCATAAATAAATTTCTAGACATGGAGTAAGTGAGTCCAAAGTTGGGCAAAATTCTAAGTCTTTTTTTTTTTTTTTTTTGGAGAGGTTTTTGCTATAGGGCACGTGCGCTCGCCAGACAGAGAGAGACAGAAAGCGAGAAATCACCCCCCAGGGGGGATGGCCATGCCGCAATCCCTTCTCCTCCATTCTCCTCTCGGGATCTTGGGCATGCACACACACGCACCTGGTGTGAGTTTAAGCCACCGGGTCTGGGACTCGAACCGCGGTCAACTACATGGGAGTCCAGCGACATAGCCATTACGCTAACTGCTGGTCCCGATTCTAAGTCTTTTGATATGAATTGCCTGGTGGTCCTGACTGCCTTTGGAATAGCAGTCCTCATTCCTGCATGCCGAGGACACAAGTACAGGGTATGTGGTTGCGCAGATGTGCCCAACAAGGGTGTACTCGTGAGTGAGTGAGGACCGTATTGGAAGTGGTAGGGAATGAGTTTTGTTTTGTTTTTAAATTTGCTATAGGTCTCAAATTAAAATTAATTAATTAATTAATTTAATTATAACTTTTTTTTTTTTTAAAGTGGAGCTGGCAGGTGGTGTGGTGGTTAAGGGTGCTGGACTCCCACATGGCCAACTGCAGTTTGAGGCCCAGACCTGGTAGCTTGGTTTCTCTCTGTCTCTCTCCTCCCCTCCCCAGTCAAATTAAAATACATACATACATACATAAATAAATAAATAAAAAGTTAAATAAAATAATCCCTAAAAGAGAAAAAAATGTGCTATAGGGCATACAAAATCTCTGGAGAGTGACAATGAAGTAGGAGGAGTGGGGGACGATGACCATGCTGCAATTCCTTCTCCTCCATTCACCTCTCAGGATTTCTGGCATACATGCATGTGCCCATCATGTTTCTCAAGCCACAAGCTCTGGGACTCCAATCACACCATTGGTCATGGAGGATCCAGCCACCTTAACCATCATGCCACTGGCCGGCCCACAGAGTGAGACACTGATGGACAAATATCAGTCAACAGAGTTGAGGGCTGGTTCCATTGCAGAGCATTAATGCTTTGCTCAAGAGAAGCTAGATCCCACATGGCAGGTGAGGTTCGAATCCCAGGCCCGGTCAACTTAAAACAGGCTGGGCACATGTGCAAATGCCCAAGATCCATCAGGACTGGAGGGATTAGGTGTGAGCAGGCCCTGTGGAAGGTGCTTTTCTGTCTCTTTCTCTCTCTAGGTGTGTGTCTTTTTTTTCTCTCTCTCTGTCTCTTTCTCTCATATACAAATACACTACATGAATAAAGGGAGAAAAAGAGTTGAAGGGCGGAGGAAACAGAAACTTGGAGAGCTGCTAGCAGGAGCAGGAGATGACACACTACCTCCCAGATGGATGTGCAGTCTCTCAGGTGGTCCCAGATACCTCACAAGGACATGGGGCTGTGGACAGCCTCATCCAAATGGGGTGATGTTGCATGAGGGTGAGAAGGTGCCCCGGATGTTCCTCCTGGGCTGCAGAACCTCCTGCCCCTTGGGCCATCTGCCCTGGTCACCAGTGCAAGTGGCTGCGGTGACATCGGCCCATGCTCGTTCTGCAGGTTTGCTCGTTCTCAGGATAAACAAGCGCAGGTCGCTGTTTTCCCAGATGCATCTATCTATCTATCTATCTATCTATCTATCTATCTATCTATCTATCTACCTATCTTTCTTTCTTTCTTTCTTTCTTTCTTTCTCTCTTTCTCTCTTTCTCTCTTTTTTATTTTTATTTTTTGAGAGGTTTTTGCTATAGGGCACATGTGCTCACTAGAAAGACAGAGACAGACAGAGAGACAGAAAGTGAGAAATCACCCCCAAAAGGGGATAGCCATGCCGCAATCCCTCCTCCTCCATTCTCCTCTCAGGATCTTGGGCACGCATGCACACGTGCCTGGCATGAGTTTAAGCCACCGGGACCGGGACTTGAACCACAGTCGACTACGTGGGAGTCCAGCAACATAGTCATTATGCCAACTGCTAGTCCCCCCAGACTCATCTTTCATGGCACATTTCTGCAATCTACAAGTGACATCTTGAAAAATTCAAAAGCCCTATTTGGAGCTTCTCTTGAAAGCTCCAACCCAGTCTTTCCGGGGTTCTCGGGTGGACTGAAGTGAGCACCTGTCTTTCTCAGGGCGTTGCTGGGCCCAGTGGAGTGACTGTGTGGCGAGGAGGCTGCTTCGCACTGACCAGAGGGAGCTGGTGGTGCCTCCGTCCTGCCTGCCGCTGCCCCCTGCTGCCGTCAGCCTGCGCCTGGCTGTCCTGAGAGGCCCAGAGCTGCAGCAGGAGGCGGAGTGCTGCCTCTACGTGTCCACTCCCCTGGAACTCAGGCCTCGAGTCAGGTGGGGCGCGGGGACACACCCCAGTGTCGGCATGTGCGCGTTCCACCCACTACCGAGAGCCGCCTCAGGCCTGCACGACACAGGGGCCGGGCTTCCTGCGCTGGGCACAGCCAACCCGCATGCTCAGCGAAGGTGGACAAACCGTCAAAGGGAGGGAGCACACTTCTTTGACAGCTCTCTCCGCTCGGGCTCAGAGAATGCTTCCGGCAGGAACCAGGGCTCAGCAGAGGTGTGACCCGGAAGGGGGATGAACTTGGTCAGGGAAATGGGGCTAGAGAGGGGAGACAGGCCAAGGACAGTCAGGAGGTGAAGGGGGCCAGCCTCCTCAGGCATGGAGACGGGGAGAGGGACAGAGTAAGCAGGGCCGCCCAAGATCTGGGGTTTTCCCAGGAGCGCTATAGAGAGCCATTCAGGAGTGCTAAGCAGGGCGTCTGATCAGGTCTGGGTTCAGACGCTCCTGTGGCTGGCTGGAGGTGGCTGGTCGGAGAACAGCCAGAGGAGGGCATGAGAGGATGCAGGGAGGCCCTTGGGCTCTTGCAGAAGTCAAGATAGCGCTCAGGTAGCTTCGCCTACCAGCTGGTCCCTATAGGAAGCAGCTGGTTCACTCAGGCCCCGATTGATCAGCGGTGGCGAAGGAGCTGTTTACAGGTGTGGGCAGTGAGAAGAGAACGAACCAGGGTGATGCCGGGTGGCAACAGGGGGCGGTCATCCCACCTTTAGGACTGCAGAGATAAGGGGGGTGGTGTTCCTGGACTCCCGGGGGCTGGGGTGGTAGGGGAGGACCCTCCTACTGGGAGCTGAGACTTTGGCTGGAAGGCTAAGCCAAGGATCAATTCCGTCTCCTTGCACCCTCCAGTCCCTTATCAATGCTTGCCTTCGGCTGGTCGGTGGGTGCTGCTGGTGCAGGAGCCTGGGTGAAGCCATCCTTAGGTCAACCTCCCAGGGAGGAAGTTGGTGGAGAATAGTCCTGAGGGCAGATGGGGACACACTTGCACTAGGACAGACACGAAGTGAGAAGCAGGGAGAGTCAAAGCTAGAATGGAGAGAAGACTGAAAGGGCAGCAGGATAGATCGGGGCCAAAGCGCGCTTTCCTGGGCTCAAGGATGTGATTCAGTCATTAGGGAGGAAGCCCAGGCCTGGGGCCCAAGAGGAGCGGTTCGTGCGCCTCCGCTCACTTGGGAGTGTAGGGACACGTCTCCTGCCTCTGGGCTGGTTTGCTCTTCTGTGATGTGAGGACTCTGACTTGTCCCCGCAGGGCTGGGTGTGCACTGGGGGAGCCAATGGCGAAGGCACGTGGGCTGTGAGACCGCAGCAGTCACTCCTTACCATTCCAGCTAAAAGACTCACAGAAATTGGTCTTCGCCTATCACTTAGCCCGGGAGGCTCGGGGAGCTGAGGTGGCTTGCCGGAGTGACAGGGATAAGTGACAGGGACAGGGTTCAAGCCCAGGGCCCATCTCAGCCTCAGGCACTTTCCATGTCATGGCCCTGAGCTGTCCACAAAATGCCAATTCGTCGAGGACACGACCCACTCCAGACTGCCGACCAAGGCCACGTCCTGGGGTGGGTGGGGGCAGGGTGGCTTTTCTCTCATCTTTCCTGTGGAAAGAGGCCGTTTCCCACCTCCTCCAAGGGCTTGAGAAGCCCAGGCGGTGGTGCTTGTGCCCAGAGCGCCTCCTGCGCCGCCCTCGCTCTTCCCTCCAGCTGTGAGAAGAACTGCGGGCCGGTGAGAGCCGATGAGGACGTTCTGCTCAGGGTCGCCATGGCAGACGAGGACCTTGCCACCACGTTCAGCTGGTATTTAGATGACACCTCGTCAGGGAAGGTGAGGACACCGTGGTCACTCCAAAATGAACACTTCTGCTTCTCCCATGACCAGACCTGTGTCATGTTCCTGTGCCGCTGAGTCAGGGCTGGTCAGCTCCGCCCGGACCCTGGACAAGGGATTGGGCTGAGGGAGGGACAGTCCCTAGACAGAACTTTCAGAACTAGCCAGAAGAATGGATGCAAGGGACCAAAACCCAGGAGGAGATATCTCAGCAGGTGCTGTTGGTGCCCTTGCCAGCTATGGCATGGACGCTGGCCAACAACTGATAGATGTGGGGGTCTAACATCCCAGCCCTCACCCCCAAAAAGGCAGTTTCTGTGCAGGGACCAGGCTGAGGCTGGGCACCCCATGCCACTTCTTTCCTCCTTGCTTCCTCCTCCGCCCATTCTGCTTCCCTCCCTCTCCTCTGCTTTTCCCTGAGTGTCTCCTCTCAATCGGAACCTGGCTCGGGTTGTCTAGGGACCCCCAGCCCAGGACGAAAGCCCCAGCGAGGCTGGAGGCTGGAGGCTGGAGGCTGGGTACTCGGGCTGATGCTGTGCAAGCTAGTACCGCCTCCTTCATCAGGGACAAATCTGTAAGACGCCCAGGGCTCGGAAGCCACTGTCTTGCAGAGGTCTGCGGACCTGACGGTAGCTTCAGGCCCTGGGCGATGTTCTCTTTCAGGTGCAGCCCCTCCCGGCCACCTGCGCGCTCCAAGGGCCGTGGCCAAGTTCTCCGAGGCTGCTCCAGAGCAATGCCTCCACGCTGCTGCTCAATGGCTCCCTCCTGCAGGCCTGGGGAGAGGTCCTCCGCATCAGAGCCACAGGTGCGCACCCCCCCCCCCCCCTCCTGTCAGGGAGCCAGGGCACACCCAGAAACACTAAAGCACAGCCCATCGGGCACAGGGGACACGACCTGAGTCTGTGTGAATCCCGCCACCACCACTTTCTACCTGGAGGCTTCAGGCAAGGGATTTACCCTCTCTGTGCCTCAGAGGGTAATGAAACTGCCCACCGGCCCTGCTATGGCAGTGCACAGGGAGCACCACCACTCGGGAGGCTGGAAGCCACACGGGAGTCCGGTTTGGCTCCTGGGCCAACCTGAACACGCCCGGAGTGTGTGCATGAGCCTGGCTAATGGCGAGGCTAGGGCAGGAGGATCCTGACAGAGAAACCCTGTCAACAATACCTATCTCTGTCTCTCCCTGTCTTCTTTTCTCTCTCATGAAAGGGGAAAAAAAGCCTGCCCCAGAGCTGTCCTTGCACAGGCCCCAGGAGTAGCACAGGGTGAATGCGGGTCCTTCTTGGGGTGCAGTCCTATGTCCTGATAGCTTAGATCAGAGCTTCACACATGCAAATCAAGCCTGGTGGGAACCAGCAGATGGTGTAATGGTTATGTCGCTGACTTTCACGTTGTTGACCATGGTTCAAGACCCAGACCTGTTGGCTTAAAACTCAGGCCAGGCGCATGTGCATATGTGCCTAAAATCCCAAGAGGTGAATGGAGGAGAAGGGATTGCAGCATGGCCATTCCCCCAGTGGGGCAGGGGGTGGGGGGTGATTTTCTTGCTTTTTTTCTCTCTGTCTCTCTTTGTCTCCCTGGCAAGTGCATATATCCTACAGAAAAAAAAATTTTTTTTTTTTAATTAAAAGAAAGAAACAAGCCTGGTGCCAGCAGATGGCATGGTGGTTAATGCGCTGGATTCCCACAAGGTTGACCACGGTTTGAGTTCCAGGCCTGATGGCTGGAAGATTACACTGGGCATGTGTGTGTGTGCCCAAAATCCTGAGAGGAGAGTAGAGGAGAAGGGATTGTGACAGGCCCATCATGTTCTCTCCCTCTGTCTCTCTCTGGCGAGCACACATGTCCTATGGTAAACACCTAAAAGAAAAAATTAAAAAATAAAAAAAAGGCCCAGTGTGGGAAATGTAGATTCTCCAAAAGGAGAATCTTTGTAGGAAGGGTTCTTTAGATTCTGTATCCCCAAAGTGGCCCATAGGCCACCCAAACCCAGGTACTAGCTCACGATGCTCACCCAGGGTCCACTTCATGCCTTCTGATCGAGGACAGACCAGAGAATTAATGAACTAATTCTAATTGATGAAAATGTCCTCCATGTCCAGCTCTTCCAACTCTCTTTGAAGATCCAGGTGACCATGCCAGGTGATGTGGATTGTGGCTGCAGGCCACCAGGTGGCCCTTCATGGTGCTTCAGGGGCCTGGGAAGAGTGGAGGCCTCTGGTGGGACCAGCCTGTTCCCAGACCCCAGCTCCAGTTCTCTGGCTCAGCCATCCTGAGCACATTCTAGTTTCCAGGACTCTACGTCCCCAGGAAACCTCTGTGGGGAAGCCGTTGTCAGAAGCCCATTTTGCAGATGAAGGAATGCTTTTCAAAAAGGTCACGTGCAGGGCCACCTGGCTAGCACGCGGCGGAACTGGGATTCAAGCTCAGCTCTGTCCAGCTCTCTTCCTGTACCTCCCTGCTACTCAGAGTGAGGCCTGGGATCTCTGGCATCAGGGGAGTTGTTAGATAGGCAGATCTGGGGCTTTCCCCAGAATCTCCAGAGAAGTCTGAGTTCTGGGTTTGGAGAGGAGACTAGGAGACCCCATGATTTTGTTTGTTTGTTTTATTTTGTTTTCTCTCTCTCTCTCTCTATTTATTTATTTATTCATATATATATATATATATATTACTATAGAGTGCATGAACTCACCAGAAAGAGCAAAAAGCAAGAGAGAAAAAATGAGAAAGCACCCCCTAGGGGGACTAGCCATGCCACAAGCCCTTCCCTTTCTTTCCCCTCTCTGGATTTTAGGCATGCACGCACACACCACTTGAGAAACAGGTTTAAGACAAACTGCGCACCAGCCATGTGGGATCTAGTGCTTTGACCTCCACGCCACCTGCTGGCCCTGGAGTCCACGTGTTTAACAACCTCCTGGGGGGATGCTGTTAGGCTGTGTGACACACACGTCCCCAGCACCATCCGTCTTCCCTCATAGCACTGACTGGGCACGCCTACGGGGAGGACACCTACGTGGTCAGCACTCTGCCTCTTCCCGATGTGCCTGTCTGTGTCATCAGCCCGGAGGAGGGCACCATTCTGACAAGCTTTGCCGTCTTCTGCAACGCCTCCATGGCCTCAGGCCCCTTGGAGTTCTGCTTCTGTCTGGAATCAGGTGCCTCTCATTTCTTGGGGTCATTTTCTCTAAGACCAGGGACCTGTCTCTCTTGGGGAGCTGCAAAGAGTGTGTTCTATGTGTGAGCGAGGTTGGCATTCCCGCCCCCCCCCAAGCACAGTGGCCCAGCAATCACACCACAGAGACATGGGAAGCAGGTCCCATCAGTAGCTCTTCCACAACCGGAGGCCAAAATGACCTCTGTCCAGGCATGAGGGACATCAGAGAGCGACATGGACGAGGATGCCCAGAAGTGTGATCTTGTTGGGCCTCAAGCACAACACCACCCCCAGTACCCGCAGTCATAGAAGCCAGGACTCCTTGAAAGTCTGGAGCTGGTGAGGAAAGCAGAGATGGTCAGATCCACAGAACTGCCAAAACTTGGCCATCGCTGCTTTGCAACTGCGGGAGCCTGGATGTGTCCTGAGCTAATCGCTGTGTTTGTTGCTCTTCTCCTTCCTCTCCTTTCCTATTTTTCTCTTCCTCCTCCTCCTCCTCCGGGCCCCCTTCTTTCTTTTCTTCTTTTTGTAATTTGATTTACCTTGAATTGCAAACACAGAAAATGTAAATAGGGGATTTTTTTCCTGCACTTTTCCTTGGATTTTGGAATTAATTAATTAATAATTATTAGCTATATAAATGTAAAATATAAGTATATAATATAAATATAGAAATCATTAATAAATTAACCCAAGCTACAGCAACCTGCGGTTCCATACCGAGGACAGGGAATCAGTGTGTAGGGCTGTCTCCTCCCTGATGGTACAGAGCCCCATGGGCCTGTCACAGCTTCCAGAGCTGTGACCTGTGTCCTCATGTCCAGGCTCTGCCTGGGGGGCCTATGGTCTCCCTGGGGCTTGGCAATGCTCCCCTGTCTGTTCAAATTCAATTTTCCAGGTCCCTGCCTACACTGTGGTCCGGAACCTGCCCTCCCATCCGTCTATCTGCCACTCGGAGAAGAACACAATGACTTTGTCCTGACAGTGGTCATTTCAGTCACCAATCATGCGGGAGACAGGCAGCAGACACATGCAGTGGTTAAGGTGGGTGGTGCTGGTGGCCACTGTTTCTTCACTAAAAATCCTCTTGGGACCAGCAGACGGTGTAACGGTTACGTCACTGAACTCCCATATAGTCTACTGCAGTTTGAGTCCTGGACCTGGAGGCTTAAAGCAGTGCCTGGGGGACCAGCAGATGGGGCAGTGGCTGGGGTGCTAGACTCCCCACATGGCCAACGGTGGTTTGTGTACTGGACCTTGCAGCTTGCTTTCTTACTTTCCCTTTCTCTCTCTCTCTGGTCAAATTAAAAAATAATCATGATAACAAATAAAGTAAAATAAATCATTCTTAAAAAAAAAACCTAACACTGGCCACATGTGTGTGTGCCTAAAATCCCAAGAGGAGAATGGAGGAGAAAGAATTGCAGCGTGGCCATCCCCCCTGGAGACGTTATTTCTTGCTTTCTGTCTCTGTCTTTCTGTCTTTCTGGGAAGTGCTCATAGCCTGTAGCATAAATCTGAAAAAAGAAAAAATAAAGGAAGGAAGGAAGAGAGAGAGAGAGAGAGGAAGGAAGGAAGGAAGGGAGGGAGGGAGGGAGGAAGGAAGGAAGGAAGGAAGGAAGGAAGGAAGGAAGGAAGGAAGGAAGGAAACATCGTGACCCATCCACACCTCACCGAAACAGTGGCTGGACAGATAAATCACCTGTTCTTTCAGGTATTCAAATGAGTGTGTGAGATATTGACAGAACATCCATATGTGCCAGTGCTGAGGTTGTAACTGGATGCCTGGACTAGGCTGTCACTGTAGACCTTTTTGTTGGTTGGCTTTGTTTGTGGTGAGTGATGTTTTGAACAGGGCCTCACCGCGTGGCAATCCTGCATAGCTGGGATGACAGCTGCGTACCACCATGCAGGGCTTTTTAGTATGGGCCGGAGGGTGAATGTGGGCTTCCCATATGACCTCAGCCTAGCAAGCAGCAGCATCCGTGGCTGGTCCACTTCGTGGCTCTTATGACTCAGTGGGCAGAATTGGAGCAGGGTGTGGGAACTGGGGCCGCGGGTGGAGCCAGAGGGCCCAGGCAGCAGCTAGGCCAGTGCCTCCTGAGGGTTCAGAGGAAGGGCGACCAGATCAGCCAACAAGGATGAGGCAGAGCCGGGGTAAAGTCCCAAGGGTGGAGGGGCTATGAGAGGAGAAGCTGTGATTGGCTGGGTTGCCCAAGGCTCGGTTGTGGTGGCTGTCGGCTGCCCGATGGGTCCAAGCGGATCTGCTGTCCTCAGGAAGCCTGAGAGCCCCTGGGCCAGGCCAAAGGCCTCCAGGCCCACACTGGTCTACCGCAAGTAGACCCAGGGTCTGGAACAATGGCCACCGAGGACACTTCTGGTTTCCTCCCTAGGTGGGACTCGGAGACGCACGTGTGGAAGATGTGGCATTCCAGGCTGCCGTGTCGGAGAAGATCATGGCCGCCCTGCACAGTGCACGAGGGCCTGAGTGCCTCCTCCAGCTGGCCAGGTCCGTGAACTCCGCGCTCACCTGGGAGCTCCAGGGCCCGGCCTCGGGGGAGCCACCGAGAGCAGACGCCAGACAGAAGGTGCTTGACGCGGGCTCCCTCTGTACCTTCCAGGGTCCCGGCTCTGCATGCAGCCGGCTGGGGCATGGGGCGGGCTTCAAGGGTCCGTGGTGATGTCTACCAAGTAACCGATGTCACCCCCTTCTCTGGTCCCTTTGGTGAGTGACATCAAGTGAAGAAAGTGCTTTCTTTGTGGTCACCTCTTTCTTGCTCCCCTCAGGGAGTCTCGGGCTTCCGGGACTGAAAGGCACTAAGAGCATCTCTCTGTGTAGGAAGATGACAAAATCGGGGCCCCGAGGAGAGAAGTGACATGGTTTAGGTCACTGAGTTCTGGTTTAGGGTTAGACTTTGGATGTGTCCCAGCTGTATTGTCACCAGCCAGTGACTGGCCCCCTGTAAGCCTGGGTTCCCCGTGTGGAGAACAGAGACGATACCGTTATGTGCCTTGTAAAGTTGTGATGAGAGGCAGATAGGGTTTGCAATCACTGCAGCTAAAAGTCGAACCACATGAAATGGCCAACATTAGATTAGTTTAGCAACAAAAACGGGCATGTCATGTGCTATAATCTATTTTTTAAAGAGATTTTTGCTGAAGGGTGTATCGTGCTGGCCAGAGAAACAGAACGAGACAGAGAGACAGAAAGTGAGAAATTACCCCCTTGGAGAATGGCCACACCTCAGTCCTTTCTCCTCCATTTCCCTCCTGGGATTTTGGGCATGAACACACACGTGCCTGGGGTGAGTTTCAAGCCGCTGGGTCTGGAATTGTGATTGGCCATGTGGGAGTCCAGCACCTTAACCACTATGCCACCTGCTGGCCCCACAACCTAATATTATAAACAACCGTTGTAAAACAAATAAAACATGTCATGTGTGCATGTACACACATGCACCTCTGCTAGGATGAGAACAAGAAAGACCGCCGTCCCCTAAAGATTTTCACAAAATTCCTCAGCGCAATGTTGAACTCCTGGGAGGCGCGGCACCCCACACAGCGGCTGTTGTAGTTGTTGCTACAGAGAAGTAACGAACATGCACTGAGCATCTTCTCTGTGCTCCCAGGCCCTGCACTAGGGCTTCCTGGTTGTGTGACCCCATTACAGCCCTGGGAGGTAAAGGGTGAGGTCCCATCTATGCCCTCGATGTGGAAATGGAGGGAAGAGTCATCCATGTGTCTGGTAAGGGATGGAGACCAGGTTCAAACCCAGCCGGCTCTCTCCCGTCTACCACCAGCCCTCTCACCCCAGCCCTTTGCTTCACATCAGCCTCTCCCCCCGTACACACACACGCACACACAAACACATGCACACATGCACACACGCACCCCCTGGCTCTGTTCTTGTATGTTCACCCTGCGTTGTACAAAGGGCAAGCTTCTCTCTGACCTCCTGTGGTTCCCACACACAGACTTTGCAGCCTGACCCAAGGTTCCCGAAGAGATGGCAGGTCCTGGCAGCAGAGAGGGGTCAAATTCTCACAAACTCTCTGCGAATATCTTCTGTGTTGGGAAGAGTGTGAGCAGGGCTCAGGGAACAAATGACAGTGCTTAGGACCCCAGGGCTCAGCACGAGTGACCTAAGCCAGAGTGGGCGACTTCGTGTGGGGTAGGCTTCCTCCTTGCTGGGAGGGCCTGACAGAATGAGTCCTTCCAGCTCTCTCCCCACCCTCTTGTCTCCTGATGGGTGGCTCCATTGGCTAGAGAACCGGGAGCCAGAGACCGCCCCACACAGGCAGCCTCCAGGAGCTAGGGAAGGGTAGTGAGGATGGAGGGAGGAGCTGCGAGACAAACGTGAGACCAACCACCTGTTATCTGAGTTCTCTGGAACATTCTGAGGAGAGTCCCCCAATGTCCTGGCCTATCTACAGCCTGAATGCTCCTGAGCTGATGGCCGACACATTCTAACTCTGCTGTGCCTTGAAAGACCATTAGGCTCAGCAGGCCGGGAAGTAGGCTGTGCAGTGAGAGCGACTGCTCGTGTGTGTGTGTGTGTGTGTGCATGTGTGAGAGAGCGAGAGAGCACTAGAGCACTAATGCCATGATCTGAGCCAGGTCTAGCTACTTACATCTGAGTTCAAGTAAATTAAAATTACAGACCAGCCATATGGCCTGGCGGTTAAGGGAGCTGGCTCCTACATGGCCGACTACAATGAGTCAAGTCTCAGAAAGACATGCCAGGCACATGTGCACGCATGGCCAAAATCCTGGAAGGAGGGGGAGATGGAGAAGCTTCATCATGACCCATGTGATGTTTCCTCATTCTCCCTTTCTCTGTTGAATGCACATGACTTCTAACAAATTAAAAAAAAAAAAAGGTGAAATACAAAATATATGGTTTTTTTATTTTTTTATTTATTCATTCATTTATTTTAATTTGGCCAGAGAGAGACACAGAGAGCAAGAGAGAGGGAAAGTGAGAAAGCAAGCCACCAGGTCCGGGACTCAAACCGTGGTTGGTTATGTGGGAGTGTCCAGTGCCTTAACTACCATGCCACCTGCTGGTCCCGCATGCCACTTGCATTCTCTCCCCCTTGGTAAGTTTATCCCTTTTTTTTTTAGAGAGAGAGAGAAAGAGATTTTTGCTATAGGGTGCGTGTGCTCGCTGGAGAGACAGAAAGACAGAAAGTGAAAAATCACCCCTCAAGGGAATGGCTGCACCACAATCCCTTCTCCATTCTCCTCTTGGGAGGAGATGTATACACAAACACCCAATGTGAGTTTTAAGCTGCAGGGTCTGGGACTTGAACTACAGTTGACTATGTGGGAGTCCAGTGATATAACCATTATGCCATCCTCTCATTCCATGTTATTATTATCATTTTAGTCTGACCAAAGAGAGAGAAAAAAGGAGGGAAAGGGAAAATAAGAAAGCAAGCTGCCAGGTCTGGAACTCAAACCACAATCAGCCATGTGCAAGTCCAGTGCCTCAAGGACCACACCACCTGCCGGCTTCCTCCCAAAAATAAACAAACAAACTACACACACACACACACACACACACACACACACACACATACATATGCGTGTATATATGCCATCTCTTTGGAGCCCCCTCTGACTCTTACCCACCTGTTAACCCAGGATAATCTCCCCATCTCAACGTCCTCAACTTAATCAAATCTCCAAAGTGCTCTTGCCAAGTGTAATTTTCATGTGAGGTGACATTTATGCAGGTTTTGGACATTAGGACGTGGGCATCTTGGGAGGCTGTTATCCCATCGAACTCACGGGAGGCAGACGGAGTCTTGGGGCTCGGAGAGCCCCAGGTGAGCCTGTTTGGGCCCCTGACCCCACACCTTCCCAAGAGAACTCCTTGGGCCCCTGGAGTTGCATTTCCTCCCCGCCTTTCTCCCCTGCCAAGGTCAGAGAGCATGTGCTGGGGGCGCTGTCCACCATTGCCCCCAGCCTGGAGGACTTGAGGATGGTGCAGGGGCTGGCCGAGGTGCTGACAGAGGTGACCCAGAGCAGCCAGGAGCTCACGCCCTTGGCCCGGGTAAGTAGCTCCACCTGCTGGGCTGGGCCACAGCACACACCCCTTCACAGCGGGTGGGCGGCAACCCAGCTGGATAGGGCACGGGGGCCTCACTCCTGGGCTCACCTAGGGCTGCCAAGGCCTCTGCCCTCTTCTTTCCAAGGTCTCACATGGGTGGCACAAGGGAAGGGACCTTGGCAGCCCCCTGTGTTTCATGCTGGGGGTGTTATATCCACCCATCCCTCCATCCACCTCCACTCACCCCTCATCCAGCCATCCACCTGTACATTCTCCACCTGCCTCTGTCCTGCTCGCTCCACCGTGGCCCTGTCCCTTGAGTGGCACAGGACACACCAAGCAGGGACTCATGTGCTTTTCCTTCTCCATTGGGCGAGCCAGTGGGAGGCCAGCCGGGCTCTGCAGCACGCCAGTGAGGCTCTGTTAGCAGTGAGTGCTGAAGCCCGTTCTGAGAACCAGAGGCACCAGGCGGCCACCACGGCCCTGTTTCAGGCTGTGGGCAGCGTGCTGGAAGCTTCCCTGCATGGTGGACTGGAAAAGCCCATGGGGGCCAACAGTAGCCAGGTGGGTCCCAGGCTAGCTGCAGACCTCAGGAGGGCACTGAGGCACAGAGCTTCAAGGCTGCCAGGGAGCTGAAAGTGAAGGGCCAGAGAGCACAGCTCCCGGGAGGCAGTGAGGTGTAGCAGGCAGCGTGCAGACTCTGACCAGGCAGCCTCAGTTCGAAACCTGCTCAGTCCTGGGGGCCCCAGCACCCCTGAGGGGCACCATGACTCCCCACAGCACTTTGTCCTACGGGACCATTATCTCTTCAGGAAGTTCTGAAACACACACACACGTGCACACACTCAGTCGTGTGCTCACATACATTCAGACACACTTGAATACCCACTCATGCCCCTCACACGTCACACACAGTTGGTTACACTGACACATAATCACACACGCTCACTCACACATTCAAACTCACACACTAAAGGCACACACTCACACCTACCCTCAAGCACACACTCTTGCACACACACAGACATGCATTTACATTCGTACATCTTCACACATGACCATACACTCACACTCTCACTCACACAAATATATACACAGTTGCATGTTCCATGATCACAAAATCACCTATGCACACTCACACACCTTCACTGACTTTTTTTTTTTGGAGAGGTTTTTGCTATAGGGCGCGAGCACTCGCCAGAAAGACAGAGACAGACAGACAGAAAGCGAGAAATCCCCCCCCAGGGGGTTGGCCATGCCGCAGTCCCTTCTCCTCCATTCTCCTCTCGGGATCTTGGGCACGCATGCACATGTGCCCGGTGTGAGTTTAAGCCACCGGGTCCAGGACTTGAACCGCAGTCCACTAGATGGGAGTCCAGTGACATAGCCGTTATGCTAACTGCTGGTCCCACATTCACTGACACTTGTACACCCAATCCACACTTACATTCCCTCATAGACACACATTCACACAGACACATGCACACACACACACGCAAATTATCCACACATAGTAATGGACTCTCACGCACGAACACACGAACTGTGCCCTAACAGGGACCCTGCCAACATCGGCCCCTTCTGGGCCCACACGCCAGCCTCGTGTCAGGAGGCCCGTTGATCTGGGGTGGATAGGGCGGGGCCTGCCCAGGTGACCCTGTGAGATGGCTCTGCCTGCAGCTCCCCGTCTCTAGAGAGAGGCTGGGCTTGGGTGGGAGGCAGCAGAGAGGTGTGGCCTATGGCTCTGTGTGGGGGCTGTGGGGCCAGATGCTCCCATTGGTCTGGCCCTTCCCCCTGTCAACATGTGGCCGCCGCCTCACCTCTCCTCTCTGGTCTCCCTTTGTCCATCTGCCAAGTGGACACAGGAAAGCTCCTGCCTCGTGGAGTTGTGAGAGATGAGAGGGTTGGCAAGCCAAGCGTTTGGAGTCCACAAGTGTGGACTCTCACCATGACACGCGAGGCTGTCCCCTTCCCTCCTCTGCTCTCCCTGTCCCTGGGAGGGTCCCCAGCCTGGGGATGGCAACCCAAGGCAGGGCAGGGAGGCATCCATGCAGTGCTTGATTTCTTTTCCAGATGGACCCACTGCCCCAGCTGCTCGGGGCTGTAGAGCACGTGCAGACGGCCCTCCTGCTCAGGAGACTGCCCGGGGGCCTGCCGGCCACCTTGACCACCACCTCCATCTCTGTGTATGCCAACAGGTAGCTCCCCAGCCTCGCTCATTCCACACCCACATCCTAAGAGCCCAGATAGGCAGAGCCCAGGCGAAGGGGAAGCTTGGGCCCAGACTTTGTGGGTCCATCTGGACTGCCCCACGCTTTGCTCTGCTGCGTCTCTGTGTGGCATGAGTGCCCCACTGGTGCCAGAGCCACCTGCAGAGGCCACAGTGAAGCTGTGCAGGCGGGTGACGGCCTGAGCAGAGGGACCAGCACTCCGCTGACCACAGTGCAGTGTCTGGCCTGCCCATTGCTCTGTGGCCTGTGCAGTTCCAGATGTACTTGCCTGGGGCTTGTCTGCAGAGCACTGGCCCCAGGGCACTGACCCAGGGCTTGGAGGCCTTCCACCTTTTGTTCCTCCTCTAAACAGGCGCTGTGGGGACCCACTGCACAGAACCTGGGCCTTGTTCCCCCTGCCAGAGCTGCCCACTTGGGTCCCTGGGACAGTTTCCCAAAGCAGCGTCTTGATCAGAGTGCAGATCCGAAACCAAGTTCTCAGTCTAGTCAAGGTCAAGGGCAGGAAAGATGGGTTAGGAGCCCAGGACGTCAGATGCCACACTAGGTCAGGGGTGAACTGGAGAAACACCTACATCCCAGTTGGTCTATTCATTCAGCGAGACATTGGCTGACCACCTACTATGTGGCCAGCCCCGTTCCAGGCACCAGGCACCAGGCACAGCCCTGTGCTCATGGTGGCTTCGACCCATACAGACCATCAGTCATCAGGCTCTAGCCCCAATCCAATGGCGATGAGCTGGGGGTTGTCTTTGAATACTGATTTCCTCCTCTCTGCACTTCTGTCCACCCCTGTGGCCAGAATACAGCCCTGGGGCTGGCGAGGCTCTGTGCATATCGCTGCTGCTGGCTCTGCGACCTTCACTCTGCCTGCTGCTGCCTCCCTTGGCCCTGTGGGGAATGGCCAGGAGCCTGTGGACCTAAGGGTAAGGACAGTCCCTTCTGGTTTGCAAAGCGCTTTCATGGCATGCCCTGCATGTGTTGATGGCAGCCTGGTTGATTTGGCAGTATTGTTGCGCACATTCAGCAGGTGAGGCCAGTGACCTGCCAAAGCCACAAGGAAGTGGCACCGCTGGGATTTGAACCCAGAACTGAATCTCAACTCCATCCTCTTTCCCCAACAGCCTGGGTCACCTTGTCACTGGGAATAATGCTTTCTAGGTGTTTATTTCCTGGTTTAGTTCCATAGCTAGGAAATGGCAGCACACTGCCTGTTGACCCCTGAGCCCCAGTGAAAGTGGACAAGTGTCTTCCTCTTAGAGATGTGTTGGCTTTGGGAAGGAAAACAGGACGGTTCTACATTCCAGCAACTGCTCGGCCAGAGCAAGCCGATGTGGGTTCCCTGGGGCCGGCTCTCTGAGGCTGCAGCCCTGAAGGGCAGAACCAGCCGTGGCTGAAGGCGGGGAACCCATGTATCCCACAGGGCAAGGGCTGCTCTCCTGTCCTGTCTCGGGGCCTCAGCGTTTATAGGGACCTGCTCGCCTTCCAGCCCCGGGGCCTCGCCGATGCTCCTTGCTCTCACTTTCAGATGATGAGTTTCCCAAGGAGCCCTTTTCCAGCCTGTGGTCACTTCAATGTCAGTGGAACTGTCGGTGGCCTCCATCTGACCAGCCCTCGCGGACAGCCCATACCCGTGAAGAATCTGTCAGAGAATATCGAGGTAGATGTCGAGAGTGTCACCTAGGTGGCATTTTTGTCTTCCTTTTCAGCTTTGTTGGGATCAAAAATTGACCAGTTATGGGAACCAGCAGTTAGCGTAATGGCTATGTCACTGGACTCCCACGTAGTCGACCGCGGTTCATGTCCCGGACCCGGTGGCTTAAAACTCACGCCGGACGCATGTGCGTGTGTGCCCAAGATCCCAAGAGGAGAATGGAGGAGAAGGGATTGCGGCATGA